CTACTTACAAAACACGGCATAGATTCTGATTAGAATCGCTCAAGCATGTTGCAAAATTCTAAATTTTGATGAATTTTTATAGACCAATCGCTTATCATAGGCCTCCAATATTTTAATATGTTATCTCAGACCACAAAATCTATCTTTGTAAAAGTTTCTTCAAAATCGTCAAAATTTTTTTTTCAAACTACAACAAACGTCAAGACGACACACAATCAAGATCTTTCTATCAGTTTTTGAATTTTTGAAATCGATTATAAATTGTGGGCTAAAACGTGCACCAAAAAAATACACTCATTACTTATGCTAATTACAAAGAAACGGCTTGACCGATCGTCGCGCAAAACTGAAAATCGCCAGTTCTTATCGAGTTACAATCGGTCCAGCCGTTTACGAGAAAACGTAGACAAAAGAACGAAAAATCGGCTCGCGTGCGTACAAGCATACCTTGAAGGCTAATTAATGGCACAAATTAAAAGGAAAGTACTTTTTGAAAAATCATAGCATTCTAGATCCTCCCCCCACGGAGTTATTACCTAACGGCGGTTTCCGTGGTTCATTTTACAAATGATATTAGAATAGTGCTTGTCGAGACCTTTCATTTGATACCCCACATGCCTAAACTTGAAGTAAAACATTTTAACTCATCTGACCACGAATTCTGCAACCCAATGGTCGACTTTTTATTAAATCACGTGTAACGTTTAAACAGTTCATCCAAAGTAAGTGAAGTATTCGGAAAATTTGTGCAAAATTAAATTATCTATAATATTGTCGAGTGCAGCAACACTCTACAGGTACTTGGTATACTTTGGATAGCAAAAATTGACATCAAAATATAAATAAACTATCTTTGTAGAACCCTATTGGTTTGTTGATGCTGTTACAAAGATATTTAGATAGTGCTCGTCAAGATCTTTCATTTGATACCCCACATGTCTATATTTGAAATAAAACGTTCCAACTTACGTTTTATCTAGAGTATTCTACCCATTGGCTTACTTTTTATGAGATATAATAAAAAATAAACCAATCGATTGCAGAACTCGAGATCAAACATATGTTAGGAGGTTTTACATCAAATATAGACACGTGGATATAGACAAATAAAGGTCTCGAAGAGCACTATCCAAATATCTAGAGAGATAATCATAGCATTCTAGATCCTCCCCCCATGAAGTTAATACCTAACGGCGGGTTTCCGTGGGGATATTTTAAGAGAGATGATCATAGCATTCTAGATCCTCCCCCCATGAAGTTAATACCTAACGGCAGGTTCCGCGGAGACATTTTAAGAGAGATATTCGTAGCATTCTAGATTCTCCCCCCATGAAGATAATGCCAAACTGCGGTTTCCGTGGGGACAAGGTGCAAGAGATAAGCGAAGGTTATAGTCGGTTTTATAACGATATTATTCGATATACGAAAAAACATACTGTGAAAGTATAATTAAAAGAGAATCATAACATTCTAGATTCTCCCCCCACGAAGTTGATGCCTAACAATTTTAAGAGAGATGATCATAGCATTCTAGATCCTCCTCCTACAAAGTTAATGCCTAACGGCGAGGACATTTTAGGAGATAAAATCATAGCATTCTAGATCCTCCCCCCACAAAGCTAATGCTTAACGGCGAGGACATTTTAAGAGAGATCATAGCATTCTAGATGCTCCCTCCATGAAGTTAATGTCTATCGACGGTTTCGATGGGGACATTTTAAGAGAGAATCGAAGCATTCTAGACTCCCCCCCACCTACAAAGTTAATGCTTAACGGTGGGAAAATTTCAAGAAAGATAATTGTAGCATTCTAGATCCTCCCACTATAAAGTTAATACCTGACGGCGGTTTCTGTGAAAATATTTTGAATGCTAATTGTAGCACTCTAGATCCTCCCCCTATGAAGTTAATACCTAATACCGGATTCTGTGGGTATATTTTAAGAGAGATGATCGTAGCATTCTAGATCCTCGCACCATAAAGTTAATACCTAACGGCGTTTCCGTAGGGATATTACAAGAGAGATAATCGTAGCATTCTAGATCCTCTCACCCCGTGAAGTTAATACCTTGGGGACATTTTATGAGATACAACCATAGCATTCTAGATCCTCTCCCCCATGAAGTTAAGGCCTAACGGAGGCAAGAGATAGACGGAAGTTATAGCCAATATTATAACCCAAGCGGTATTGAGCCCGGCATATCCAGACAAAAGACTCAGTCTGGGTTGCGTAAACGCATTTTCTTCATTATACAAAAAAAAACATCTTGAAAGTATAATTAAGAGAGAATCATAACATTCTAATCTAGATCCTCCCCCATAAAGTTAATACCTAATAGCGGTTTCCGTGGAGACATTTTAAGAGAGATAATAGTAGCAATCTAGATCCTACCCCCATGAAGTTATCACCCAACATCAGTTTCCGTAAGGACATTTTAAGAGAGATAATCTAGAGTAGAATTCTAGATCCTCCCCCCACAAAGTTAATACCTAAAGGCGGTTTCAGTAGAATCATTTCAATTAAGATAATAGAAGCATTCTAGATCCTCCCCCCACAAAGTTAAGTAAGTGAAGGTCATAGTTGGTACTATAACCCAAGCGGAATTGAGCCAGACATACCCAAACAAAAGACCTAGCTTGGAAAGAGTAAACGCATTCCCTTCGCTATTTAAAAAATAATCTATTTTTACATACCTTGAAGAGATTGTGCCAGATTCAATGAAGGTCTTTCTGATGTTATCAATTTCCTGCGCTTCGATGGCATTCCTTGCAAATAAGCATCGCTAAGTGGTGACTGTGAAGTTTGTCTGCGCTGCCTGATCACATCACGACTGATTATTGGAACCCAGTCCTAAAAAACAGACATAATTATCATTACCTGCACATATTTAACTTACATCCAACTATCCATTCCCCTTACAGCTGGTAATGCATTATGCCACGGTTGACTTCCAATGACAACTTCTGCAGCAACCGGTTCTGCAGTGTCTTCATCCAATTCTATATCAGGCAGAGGAGGCGGAGCAGGTCTCACATTATTCATGGCTTCACCAGGGTTCGAATTGGCGCTCTTGTCATTGTTATTAGGAACTTCATTCAAGGAACCAGCATTGCTACTTTGGGTGCAGGTCTCGGTGTTGGTGCTGAGTCCTGATAATGAGCTGCTGCTGCTTGGTTGGTTTGAAGGCACTGATGAGGTGCGCTGGTCGGCGTTGTCTGCGTCATCGACATCCATAGACTGGGGGGTAAAGGAAATATGATTAGCATGTAGAAGGAACGTCAAAGAGTGGCTCAAGTTATGAGTGAGCGGGCATACGAGTGTTTAGAGATGCGAGCCGCCAAAGGGGCGATTCGTTGCTTCGACATACGAGCAAAATTCGTGAAAAAGTTCCCTCGCGCGTAGGAGAAAGTGGTTGTAGCAATGATTTTCCTGCGACAGAAATATTTGGACTATTTTATGATAGTAAATTATTTTGTAGTTTTGTATTTTGTAGTTAGTACAATTATTTTAATTGTACTAGCTGGCCCGGCAAACGTTTAGTGAGCGTCCATTAATCACGTGATCGATTTTTTAAGGATTTTTGGACTACCCCCTCCCTTACCGAACAAAGGGTATTTTTAGTTACGAGAAAAAATTGTAAAAATTTTAATTGTTTTAACTTCCGGGGTAGTCATAATAATAGGCTGAAAATCGAAAAAGAAAATTTTTGTATATCTTCACGTTTTAGAGGTTTCTTAACATTTTGCCATACCTCAGAAAAAATGGATTTGTGTGTGTGTGTGTGTTTTGTGTGTCCGCATTTTTTCGTACAAGTTTTCGGGCGTACGGATTAACCGATTTCAATGGTTCAAAAAACATTCGATTCCTATTGATGTGATGATCAGTTTTTGGCAAGGCAGGTCCAGCCGTTACGGAGATACAGACCAAAAGTGCAGAAAATATAAAACGAATTTTTTTGAGAGAACGCAGTGTTCGATTTGAATGATCCGTAAAACATTCAATTTGTAATGATTGGCGAAGAGGTGATTAGTTTTTGGCACAGGCATGTCCAGCCGTTTCGGAGATGCCGAGCTAAATGTGCAGAAAATGGCAGTTTTTGAGAGAACTAAGCATCCGATTTGAATGATTTAAAAAACCTTTTGCTTGTTTTGACAAAATAATTGCTTTTGGGAGAAATATTTGTTTCAATTTTTTTTTCAATTTATATTTTGTATTTCAAAAATAATTCATATTTTAATTTTAATTCTTGTTAAAGTTCTAAAGCTTCCTCATACACTTTAAATAAATAGTTTCAACTTTGTAATTCAGTTTATATAATTCTTATAAACAGTATTTAAAATAATCTATATGAAAACATTTCGTTACGGTATGGGAAGTTCCTGCAATTTTCCTCGACGCACGACGCGATACACCGCTAGTTTTTGTAATTTTTTGCTAGAAAAATAACTAAGTGATAGTGAATGTAAAAGTATGCGGAATATAAGTGAAAGAGGCAGCTAACACAAATTAAATAGATGGTTTACCCACTGCAATGCATGCAACATATAAATGTTCCTAGAACATATTAACATTGCAAGTACCAACCTAATCTGAAACTGATTTGATTTAATTTTTCAATTAAATTGGCACATTTTGATATTCAGTAATTTTAATAAAAATATTCGAGGAATATTGAATGTTTTCAAATAGATTTTAAATAATGTATCTTTCATTATTCATATTTTATGGATAAAATAAGAGAGCTTATAAATTGGACTATAAAATTTATAAAAGTTTACATAAAAAGTGAATAAACAAAACAAGCGCAGTTAGAATGAAGAACCTTATCTCATGTTTTTAAGAATTACATAAACTGAATTGCAAAGATAAAATTATTTATTTTAAGTATATAAGTGAGTTTTGGAACTTTGAATTTTGGAATTAAAATTAAAATCCAAATCATTTTCGATGTTCAACAAAAAAAAAAAAATTCTTTAGAAATTCTGAAATATTTTTTTTTTTGCTTTCCCCAAAAACTAATTGTTTCTTCACAAGCAAAATGTTTTTTGAATCATTCAATTCAGGTGCTTAGTTCTCTCAAAAACTGCTAGTTTTTGCACATTTAGCTCGGTATCTCCGAAATAGCTAGACCTGTCTTTGCCAAAAACTAATCAGCATCTCTCCTTATTAATACGAATCGAGTATTTTTTGAATGATTCAAATCGGTTGATCTGTGCGCCCGAAAACGCGAAGAAAAAATACATACAAACACACATCCATGAGGTATGCTAAAATGTTCAGAAACCTCTGAAACGTGGTAATATGCAAAAATTTTCATTTCCATTTTTGGATAATTACAATAACTTACCCTATTGGAAGTTAATAGTAAATTTATTCCTAATATTAAATAAATTATATAAAAACCATGGTGCTGGAACAAAATAATGTCATTTTAATGCATTTATGTAAGTAACATTGCTTTGAGATACAAGCATGGTTACGAAACGAATTAAACTCGTATGTCAAGATACCACTTTACAATATTCTATTTACCTGGCAATTGGAGCTGCGTTGGCTCTTATAAACAATGTACGGCTGAATAACATCAGGATTGACATTGACAGTGTTCATATAATTCCTATACTCGGCTACACTGTACGACATAGCAAGCATCAACAAATTTGGATCAGCTCCACGTGTAACGGAGGCCTAAAACAACATACAACATTATTAGCAACCACAAAATTTTGATTTAGGGACCGATTCTGCTGCATAACAGAAAAATGTTATGGCAAGGCCATGATATAAAGAACTTTCCATGCTAAATATTGACAAAGATAGAAAACCTAACCTAGAAACTGCACAAATAGCAAAAAAACGATGTTAGATAGCAGGATCTTTCTGACTCAGCTTCATAACATACAAGTGACATTGCAGTTTATGTGTAAAACACCTGAATGCACAGCAAATAGATAGACATCTTCACAGTTTTCACTACCAATAAACAAGCATAATGTAGAGTTGCCATGACAATGCTATGTTGCCCCATAAATGCAACTTATGGACCCATTCTGCCTCTTATCAGACTAATGTAGTAGCAAGGCTATGTTATGTAGAACTTTTCATATAAAATCGTTCTAAATATTGTCAAAAGCCATGTGGTCGCTGTGCAGTCAGGCGTTTTTCTCAGGTTGTTAAATAGAAAACCTAACCTAGGAACCGCACAAATGTCAAAAAAACTATGTTAGATAACAGGGTCTTTCTGACCCAGCTTCTTAACATACAAATGACATTGCAGTTTACATGTGAAACTCCTGAATGCACATCAAATACATGACATTTTGACAGTATTTAGTATGATTTAGTAGCATAATGTTTGTAAGTTGGAGCATAACATGGCCTTGCCATAACATTTTTCTATTATGCGTTAGAATCGGTCCCTTAGCTTATTATTTGAAACAAATTATCACACACCACAAAGCGTTGGAATGCCTGCTCAGCACCCCTCTGTCCATCTTGACAAGAGTTCATAACAGCAGCAACTATTAATTCAACAAATTGCCTCAGTTCTCCAGTTAGACGTCTTCCGTAGTTATTTTCACCAGCACTTCTATCCTGGTCCATAGCCACTGTTATCAGGTCTGGTAAACGTGCTCGTACAATTGAACACAATGTAGCAGGCAAGTCTATGTCGTCACGTGTTGGGATTGTATTCTGAAAAAAGTGGAAATTGGATAGAAGAAAGTAGTGGTGCGTGGCATCGCGCCTTAAGGAAAGTTGCTGGTACTTCCAGTACCATAATTTAAAATTTTTGATAGAAGTATTATTTTTTATTATCAATTTTTATTTTTATTTTTCTTACCACGGAACTGAGATGATTTTGCATCCACTCAGCAGCCCTATTGGAAGCTTCACGCAAATCATCTTGATTAAGACTATCTTGTCCAGGAGCCAAGTGATTAAGTAAGAATCTCCTTATTACATTACGAAGCTCATTCAATGGTGAAGAGTCACCACCAGACAGCATTGAGAACAAGTCATTGAGTGGAGTACGATGAACCTGGGTAATAAAAACATAAATTATATCATCTTTTCTTTATTAACCGGTAACTCAATCAGACTTACCAGTTCCATGATGAAGTCTAGAAGCAAGTCTCCGCTATTTTGGCCATCGATGACTTGCACAACTGCATTTTGCAAAGTATTGATCATAGACTGTGAAGCTAACACGTTACGGAACAAGTCCACAGGGGCTGAAATTAAATCAACAATAAGTAAATGAGCATAATTAATAAACAATAGTGCATTGAGTCCCTCAGCATGGAAAATGTGTAACTTTGTTATGTGCAAATGCAAATAAAAATTAAACAAAAATTAAATTTTTAGTCAATCCGAATCATTTCTTAAAAATATGCTTTATTAAGAGTTCTCCATTAATCACATCTCTAATGTATTTTCGAATAAAGAAATCCAAATCTAACTTTCTAACCATTGCAATGACATGAATTGTGATATAACTAAAGATAAAAAATGCATCAATAGTTTTTCCATTTATGTAGACAATTTTTTCAGACAATTTATAACAATATAAAGCAAAAAGAAACGTTTTCAAATAATCCTAAAAGGCATTCAGACAATCTACAATTTTAAGATAATCCACAGCATATTTAAATAATTTGTAACAGTGGATTTGTAACAGAAAATCTACAATGTATTTAGCATTCAACGACCAACAACAGTTTAAGATAATCAGCACCGTCAACACCAATTGCAACGTCTTCAAACAATCTGCAAAGTCTTCAGCTTTCAGTAGAAATCAAATGGTTTTTTGATTATTTAAATCATATAGAGTCTTCAGACAATCTGGAACATCCTAAGACAATCTGCAACGTTCTTAGACGATCTGCAACGTTCTTAGACGATCTGGAACGTTCTTAGACGATCTGCAACGTTCTTAGACAATCTGCAACGTTCTTAGACAATCTGCAAAGCCTTCAGACAATCTGCAAAGCCTTCAGACAATCTGCAAAGCCTTCAGACAGTCTGCAAAGCCTTCAGACAGTCTGCAAAGCCTTCAGACAGTCTGCAAAGCCATCAGACAGTCTGCAAAGCCATCAGACAGTCTGCAAAGCCATCAGACAGTCTGCAAAGCCATCAGACAGTCTGCAAAGCCATCAGACAGTCTGCTACGATCTTAGACAGTCTGCTACGATCTTAGACAGTCTGCTACGATCTTAGACAGTCTGCTACGATCTTAGACAGTCTGCAAGCCTTCAGACAGTCTGCTACGATCTGAGACAGTCTGCTACGATCTTAGACAGTCTGCTACGATCTTAGACAGTCTGCTACGATCTTAGACAGTCTGCTACGATCTTAGACAGTCTGCTACGATCTTAGACAGTCTGCTACGATCTTAGACAGTCTGCTACGATCTTAGACAGTCTGCTACGATCTTAGACAGTCTGCTACGATCTTAGACAGTCTGCTACGATCTTAGACAGTCTGCTACGATCTAGACAGTCTGCTACGATCTTAGACAGTCTGCTACGATCTTAGACAGTCTGCCACGATCTTAGACAGTCTGCCACGATCTTAGACAGTCTGCCACGATCTTAGACAGTCTGCCACGATCTTAGACAGTCTGCCACGATCTTAGACAGTCTGCCACGATCTTAGACAGTCTGCCACGATCTTAGACAGTCTGCCACGATCTTAGACAGTCTGCCACGATCTTAGACAGTCTGCCACGATCTTAGACAGTCTGCCACGATCTTAGACAGTCTGCCACGATCTTAGACAGTCTGCTACGATCTTAGACAGTCTGCTACGATCTTAGACAGTCTGCTACGATCTTAGACAGTCTGCTACGATCTTAGACAGTCTGCTACGATCTTAGACAGTCTGCTACGATCTTAGACAGTCTGCTACGATCTTAGACAGTCTGCTACGATCTTAGACAGTCTGCTACGATCTTAGACAGTCTACTACGATCTTAGACAGTCTGCTACGATCTTAGACAGTCTGCTACGATCTTAGACAGTCTGCTACGATCTTAGACAGTCTGCTACGATCTTAGACAGTCTGCTACGATCTTAGACAGTCTGCTACGATCTTAGACAGTCTGCTACGATCTTAGACAGTCTGCCACGATCTTAGACAGTCTGCCACGATCTTAGACAGTCTGCCACGATCTTAGACAGTCTGCCACGATCTTAGACAGTCTGCCACGATCTTAGACAGTCTGCCACGATCTTAGACAGTCTGCCACGATCTTAGACAGTCTGCTACGATCTTAGACAGTCTGCTACGATCTTAGACAGTCTGCTACGATCTTAGACGGTCTACTACGATCTTAGACGGTCTGCTACGATCTTAGACAGTCTGCTACGATCTTAGACAGTCTGCTACGATCTTAGACAGTCTGCTACGATCTTAGACAGTCTGCTACGATCTTAGACAGTCTGCTACGATCTTAGACAGTCTGCTACGATCTTAGACAGTCTGCTACGATCTTAGACAGTCTGCTACGATCTTAGACAGTCTGCTACGATCTTAGACAGTCTGCTACGATCTTAGACAGTCTGCTACGATCTTAGACAGTCTGCTACGATCTTAGACAGTCTGCTATGATCTTAGACAGTCTGCTACGATCTTAGACAGTCTGCTACGATCTTAGACAGTCTGCTACGATCTTAGACAGTCTGCTACGACCTTGCAACATCTTAAGACAATCTATAACGTCTCAGTCAATCTGCAATGTCTTCAGACAACCTGCAACATTTTTTGATAATCTACAGCATTTTTAAATAATTTGGAACACTCAGACAATCTCAAAAGACTTCAAACAATCTACAACTTATTCAGACAACCTACAAGGTCTTAAGTAAATCTATAAATACATTAAGATAATCAACATTTTAAAATAATTTGTAACGCATTCAGACAGGCTGCAATATATTCAGGCAATCGACAACATTTTGAGACAAACTACAACATCTTCTGACAACATGTGACATCTTCAGAAAACCTACTGAGTGTTCAGACATTTTAAAACACTTTCAGACCATATACATCTCTTCCAGATAATATATAATATTTTCAGACAATCCACAACACTCTCGAACTCTCAAATAATTGGTAACATTTTCAGACAATCTATAAAACTGTCAGACAATTCTCACAATCTCATTCTCGAAAAAAAGCATAAGAAATTATCACTTCAAAAAAGATATTTCACATATTTCTTTTACTACCTCCATTAACAGCAGCAGCAGCAGCAGCCGAAGCCATGCTAGAAGCCATTGAAGAAGCCATCGAGGCAGCAACATTGACTGCAGCTCGAACTGGATCAACAACCTGTTCTCTGTCTGGTGCACTGGCATTTTCATCAGGATTGAGGTTGGGTGTGTTGTTATTCTCATTGCTGGTAGTATTATTGTTATTGTTGATGTTGTTTTGATTCCTGGGACGCAAGTGATGGGAGTTACACGGTAAGTAGGGGTCGAAGTTGTTGGTTAAACCACCCCATATACCACTGGAAATAGAAAGATGACAAAGGAGATGAATAATTGATATGAAACAAATATAAAACTAGATATATTATTTATTTATTAAATATATAGCCCACAGATTCTCCAAGAGGACTCAAAAATACAATTATTTTACATAATGAATAACAATTAAAATATATACAAAAATTGCAATATATAGTTAGTAACATAAAATGCTTAGATAAAATTACATTAATGCAGAATGTAACAATAATATTTATAAACAGAATAAGAAAATAATGAGATATTTGAAAAGAAAATAAAAAAGATAACTTGGCCGATGGAGATTATTTGATTAGGTGAAGTGTTGTGAATATCTATTTCATTATTAATAAGTTAAAGTTAGAGGACATAAGTAAAATTGGCGAATTTAAGAGAAAATTAGATTTAGGGATAGGATAATTGAAAAATAATTGTGAACGCGAAGATAGCCTTGGAACATTAAAGGATAGTTGATTGAGAATAAGAGGACAGCCTATAAAATTATTGCAAAGCTTAAATAAGAACATAATTGTATAGATAAATCGACGTGAGGCAAGGGAAGGAATACCAAATTCTTTTAGTAAAGTGTTGTGGTCGAAGCCACGTTCAGGGTAAATTTTATATGTTTTATAATAAAGGTATTTCAGAAATTTTCGCTGAACCTTCTCTATCGCATCAGAGTTGTTGATATGATGAGGATACCAAATAATCGAACCGTATTCTATTTTTGAATGTACAATAAAATAGTACATGCAAAGAAGTGCATTGGTAGACTTAAATTATTTACAATTTCTCAGTATCAAACCTACAGATTGATGTGGCTCTATTACAAATATCAGTTACATGATCTGTGAAAAAAAAACCAGAATTAAATAGAGCACCTAAATCAGAAATTTTATTACATCTATCAATGCTGTGTGTTTAAAATTTTATAATCATAAAGTATTGAAACGCGCTTATGTGTAAAACTAAGAATCTTGCACTTTGTATATTTAGATGTAATGTTATAGATACACCCAGATTGGAAAAGGTCAAGTTGAGACTGTAATAATAAGCAGTCATCAATAGAATTTATTTTGAGATATAGTTTCAGATCATCTGCAAATAATAAATGTGGACAGCTAATAATATCAAAAATGTCATTAATAAAAATAATAAATAGTAGTGGACCAAGAATGGATCCTGAGTAACACCTGAACTAATATTTTCAATGTTGCTCAAGAATCCATTAAGATAGACAAATCTGTTTACGATTATGAAGATAGATAACTCTTAAAAAAGTGAATAAGTGAAGAATTAAGACCAATCTTAGATAATTTAGTAAGAAGAATGTTATGATCAATTTTGTCAAAGCTTTACTGAAATCAGTGTAAAATAACGTCAACTGTCCATTGATGTCAAGATTCTCAGCTATATATTGTTTAATACAAATTAAATTTGTTACATAGAACGGGCAGGCATGAATCCATGGTTGATTAATAGAAATTAAAGTTCTAACAGAAGGAATTAGTTCTCAATAAATATTTTTTTCAAATACCTTAGCAAAGTTTGATAATAATGATATCGGCCTGTAATTAGTAATGTTTGATGTAACACCTGGTTTAAAAGTTGGAACTAATCGTGCAATTTTCCAACAATTTGGAAAAGTGTTTGTACGCAAAGATAGATTAAATAAAAAATGCAAGTGGATCAGATAGAGTAGATGAGCAATCACGTATATAAAGAAAGATGGAATACCATCGAAACCAAATATTTTGGAGTTCTTAAAACTTGCTATTGCAAGTTGCACAGTACTAGAATCAATTTCACTATATCAATCATGATTCTATCATTATGATAAAATAAAATGGGTATGTCAAGTTTAGGCTAATAAACACTAATAAAGTAAGAATTAAATGCATCAACAATAGCATCAGGAGAATCATAATATTTGTCTAGATAGCACAATCTATTAGGAATAATATTAGCAGCAGTTTTATTACGTGATAAAAGTGGCATTTTGCCTTAAGGCAAGTTGCATGAACTTCCTGATAATAAGAATAGATGAACAGCTAATTAGATAAAATATCTAATATGTAATAAATCCTAAGCTACATCAAATAACTTTTAAATTTTTAAAAACTGACCATCAGTTTTTCAGAGAAAACTGCAACAAAAGATAAAATGGTCGGCTCATATTCACACATATATACTTTTGCAAAATTTTGTCTCATTCGATTCAAAATGACCTGAAACGTCGAAAAACAAAATTGGACTTTTTCTACTTACCCAAATGGCAATCGTATTCCACCTCCCTGTCTCAATTGAACATGGGGCCTGGCAGTGGACCTGGTTTGAGTCGATGTTGTAGGATGCGTAGCCGTGTTGACTCTAGCTTGAGAATTTTGCCCTAAACACAAAATATTTCAAAATCAATATAATGCCTTACTAAATTCTAGATATATAATATATCTAGATAATTTATTTTTTAATATTTTTTATTTACCTGCTTGTGGAGCAGTATTATTATTAGTCTGAGCATTGGGAGCACTTGAGACACTTGCTGTAACATTGACTACGTTCACCGAGGGTGTGCCACCAGCTTGCATACGGTTGATTATTTGACCAGCCACAGCCTGCATGATTTGGGTTATCATACGATTATCTTCGGGCATGGGAATAGTGATGCCCGCTCCTAGAAAGATGAGTTAAAGATATATTTAGATAAAATATTTGTTTAAATAACATATTTGGAAATAATACATAAACAAGCTGTAAGTGGAATTCTGTCTTAAGGCAATTAGGGCATCGTGCCTTAAGGCAAATTGCTGGAACTTCCCGTACCAAAAATTATTATTTTAACATTTTTGAAAAAAAATTTCTTTGAAAAAATAAGATTTTTGAGAAACTATAAATTGGACAAAAAATAGTTTTTTTGAAAAAAAAATTTTTTTTTAAAAATATTTTTTTTAAAAAAAATTTTTTTTTTGAAAAAATTTTTTTTTTTCTTCATTTTGACATATTGTGGAAGATCTGAACTTTTTTTTCAAAGCAATCGTAAGCTTTAACTACATAGGGACAAAATATAAAGCGCGTAAGCGCCGCGTCGCTGTCTAACGCATAAGCATTGGTACGGAACCGATAGGAATGTTAACAAAATGTATACTTATTGTTAAAAATCTATAAAATGTCTGATAATTTGATGTGCATGTCTAATGATCATTTTGACCGCCAAATGGCTCATTTTTTTACTTTTTCCTCTATATCTCGAAACCGCTGGACCTACCTTCATGAAAGTTGTATCGATTCTTCATCTTGTCAATACAAATAAAATGTTTTTTGAATTATTAAAATCGGACGCTCCGTTCTCTTAAAAATGAGTTACCGTTTTCGGAACTTTTTGCCCCGTATCTTCGGAACGGCTTGACCTGCCTTTGCCAAAAACTAATCAGCACGTCTCCTTATCAATACGGATCGAATGTTTTTTGAATTATTCAAATCGGTTGATCCGTGTTCCCGAAATCGTCGACGAAAATTTGTATCCGCACATACATACACACACATACATACATATACACACACATACACACACACACACACATACATCCATTTTTTCTAAGGTATGCCAAAATGTTCAGAAACCTCTGAAACGTAAAGATATATAAAAATTTTCATTTTCGATTTTTTTGCGATTACTATAACTTGCCCTACGGGAAGTTAATAAAAAGGCTATAGATCCCAAAAACTATAGATCCGAAAAACTATAAATCCGAAAAACTATAGATCCGAAAAATATAGATCCGAAAAACTATAGATCCGAAAAACTATAGATCCGAAAAACTATAATTCCCGCAAACTATAATTCCCGCAAAATAAATTCCCGCAAACTATAATTCCCGCAAACTATAAATGCCAAAAACTATAAATGCCAAAAACTATAAATGCCAAAAACTATAAATTCCAAAAACTATAAATTCCAAAAACTATAAATTGCAAAAACTATAAATTACGAAAACTATAAATTATGAAAACTATAAATTCCGAAAACTATAAATGCCATAAACTATAAATGTCAAAAACCATAAATCCCAAAAACTGTGCGCCCTGTAAACTGTACATCCTATAAACTATACAACCTATAAATACTATACATCCTATAAACAATACATCCTATAAACTGTACATCCAATCGCCGTGAAAATTTGGGAAACTGTTAGGTACATCCCCAGACAGGTTATTGGATATTTTGATCGAAACCAAGTGGTAGGGTTTGGCCACCCTGAAGTTTTATTGTTTAGCTTTACTGTTTTTTTTTGGGTATTCTATTTAATATCATATATAAAAACTAGACATAACCCTAAATTTTCACCCTCTTACCACAAACCACAAAAATATTTTATTGGGAATTATTAGTAATTTCATCATTTTTCATCATAATTTCTGTCAGTGAACATTTTTGACTGAATTTCCATTGGATATTATTTGAGCTTATTAAAAAGCTCATTTTTCTCATTAAAAAAAAAATAATTTCATTTCATGGTTTTCACAATAGTTGATGTTATGTTCGAATTATCATTTATTTACCAGTATTGTTGGATCCAGTGGTAGCAGTTGTGGTGGCTGTCGGAGCACCTTCTGTAGTATTATTCATAGGTCTGTTGAACCTCGGAGACACCTCCATGACGACCTCCACATTGCCACCCATTGCCAAACCATCAGGAAGCACTGAAATGATCATCAATTGATTAAAATAATAACAATAATTGTAACAATAATACATTATTCACAAATAACAATCCAATATATTATTTAAATGTGAAAATAATGAAATAATTTAAATAATTAATATAAAATTGAATAATACAAAGAACAAAGCATACAATTTACTCAAATCACCTAACTATACTTACTGAATTCAAAGTTTTGGCTGTGAGGTCCAAAATCACTTGGAACTTCTGCATTTGGCGCATTGGCTTCAGTACTGAAAATATAAAAAATTAAATTATTACTTTAAATAATTACAATAATTATATTATAAACTTAGACTGTGTCAAGTTTTTATGGTAAACGATTTACAAAAATATTCTTCCACCTCCTTGTTCGACAGTCAAGATAATAAGACTTTTATAAATGACCAATTTATAATTTTAACAACGGTTATTTACACAGGTCAGTAAGCCTATGCAACAAAACTTGTATACCATTAAGTATGCTTTTTTGGTTCTAGGTATTGACAATATTAATTTTTCTCATAATTTAAGAAAGTTTTCACAATTCTATGATAATGCACAGGGAGCTTTTATTGACAATCAAATTTTATCATAAAGCTAAATTTAAGTTCTGGGGCACCATGTACCAGAAAGATTTTTTTTTTCGGTATTATATATTGACTTTACTAAGTTTTCTCAAAATTTAAAAAAACTTTCCACATATATAAAATAATGCAGCAGGTATGTTTTCACTATCATATTTACCATGAAACAAAATTGCATCAAAAACACAGACAAGTAAACCTGAAACTCTCATTGTGGGACATACACTATTTAAGTTCAACCTAAGTAATTTAAATATAAGAGAATTCATTATCAATAAAATATGGTTTATAAATAAGATCACTGACATAATCTTGATTCCATATATAACTAGTGGAGCATGGCATCATGCCTCAAACCAAATTGCTGGAGATTCCAGTGATGTAATGAGACATTCGAAGAAAAAAATGTTTTTCAATTGATTTTAATACATAATGAAACTTTCATTATTCTTATGTCTACATGAATGAAGGATTTTATCTCAATATTTCTAAGAATTATATATGATTTGCAAAGTTAAAATTAAGTATTTGAAGTATATAAAAGAGTTTTAGAACTTAAGCTAGAGTTAAAATTAAATTCCAAATCATTTTAGATATTAAAAAATATCAAATTTTGGAAGAAAAATTGCCTTACAAAACTAATCGTTTCTTTACAAGCAAAATGTTTTTTGAAACATTCAAATCGAATGCTTTGTTCTCTCAAAACTGCAATTTTTTACACTTTTAGCTCCTTATATATGAAACTGCTGGGCCTGTTTTTGCCAAAAACTAAACTCCACATCTTCTCATCAATACAAATTGATGGTTTTTGAATCATTCAAATCAGATGTGCTATTCTCTCAAAAACTTAATTTCCATATTCTGCACTCTTTGCTTCATATCTCTGAAACAGCTAGACTGACTTTTGCAAAAAACTAATCAGCACGTCTTTTTGTGAATAGGAATAGAATGGTTTTTGAATATTTCAAATTGATTGTTCCGTGCTCCCGAAAACGTGGATGAAAAATTGTATCCATACATACACACAAACTACACACACACACACATTTTTTGGACAATTACTATATATTATTACTATCTATTTTCTATTTATCTTACCCATTATTTCCAGCCGGAGCAGCATTTGACGCTGCTGTACCATTGCTTCGTCCATTTGACAAGTTGGTTGAAATAGTGATGTTGGGAACTTCGTTTACAAAATTCTCCGTTACAATAGTCTAGAAATAAACCAAAATAATAATAAATATTTTATATTAAACATATTGCATTTGAGCAATGTTTATTATGTTACAAATATTATTATAAAATATTATAATAATGTATTCAAAAGAATTTAATAATGTGTAAATTTATGGATCGATTCTGCTGCAAAACAGACCAATGTTATGGCAAGGCTATGTTATGTAGAACTTTCCATACAAAATTGTTTTAAATATTGTCAAAAACCATGTGGTTGTGCTGTCAGGCGTTTTTCTAAGGTTTTCAGATAGAAAACCTAACTTAGAAACCGCACAAATGTCAAAAAAACGATCTTAGATAACAGGGCCTTTCTGACTCAGCTTCATAACATATGAGTGATGTTGCAGTTCATGTGTAAAGCGCCTGAATGCACAGCAAAAACATGACATTTTAACAGTATTCAGTATGATTCAGTAGCATAATGTATGGAAAATGAATCGTAACCTGGCCTTAAACTTAGATAACAAACAAACATATCATAAGAATGGTTTTAACTTGATAAAAAACTTTAGTGAACATGATTAAAAAAACAAAATACTGGATTGGATCCATATTTAGATAAGAATGCACATTTCATTAAAACAAAAAAATACTCTCTTGGATCTATATTTAGATAAAAATGTTCATTGCATTAAAACAAAAAAATCTAACCAACACCAAAAAATGTAAAAAACCTTTCAAGTTTCTAAAATATCTATAAAAATAATTGTTTAATCAGTTTGGATAAAACAATTTTAACAATTAATATACGAGGTCTGTTCAAAAAGTACCCGGAATTTTCCTTTTTTTCAAAAAAATATTTATTTATTCGTCTACATTAATGTGGTCCCCTTCAAAGTAGTCCCCCCCAGATATAATACACTTATGCCAGCGTTTTTTCCAATTTTCGAAGCACCCTTGATATTCACTTTTTGATATGTCCTTGAGCACTCTCAGCGATTTTCTTCAATCGAGGAAAACCGCCGTCCTTTCATGGGTCTCTTCAACTTTGGGAATAGGAAAAAGTCACACGGAGCCATATCTGGTGAATTTTTTGCACTTTGCAACACTTTATTTCATTTTTTACGCAAAATTTAATACAAATTCTTTGACTTTTCAATTCTTCCATTGTAAAATCGCCGAGCTCAGAAAAAACACGTCGAACCTTAGCGACTACCACAGACAAAGTAAACAGTGAATATAGCTGAAAATTTCATCATACTTAGGGGCATGTATACCAACACAATAAAAAAAAAAAATTTGACAATCAG